GGTCAGGTCACATGTCCAGTTTGTAGGTTCCATCCCCAGTGCAGGAGCAGCTGATTGATGTTTCTATCTCTCTCTCCCTTCCCCTTTCTCTCTCTCTAAAAACCAACAAAAACATATTTAAAAAATAGAGCAATATAACCAAAGCTATTCTGGAGAAAAGATCTTGCAGAACTACACACACATATATATATCACTTCCATGTCCATCATCCAGTTTTTTCAAAGGATTCTACAAAGGTCAGAGGTGGTATTATTTTAAACAAATAAACAAGCAAACCAACTGCTACTTTTTTGATATTTTGATGAGATAGTTTAGTCTTAACAAGCTGTTATAAAATATATGGAATTACATTGACAAAATTGTGAAAAACTATACCCAAAGCTACAATGCAGCATTGTTTATAATATTAACAATAGGAAAATGTAATTGTCAAAAAGAGAGAAATTGTTAAACTATGGTGCATCATACCTAAGGTAGAAATTATGAAATTATTTGAAACTATGTTTTGGAAATTTTTTTAAAAGATACATAATAAAACACATGGTATATGCTAGTACATATAGATGTAAATAAAGATGTGCATGTAAAAGTATGAATACATCTCATAGAGATACGTTATTGCTGAAACTTGGCTATAACTGAAAGGTTAATTCTTTACCCAAATTAAAAAAGGGTAACTGAAAACTTTCCCAGATTCTCTGAAGTAGTTGGTTGGGGAAGTGGCTACACTGTACATCCTATGTAAATTGGATCTGCCATTCAGACCTGGCCTTAAAAAAAAGGCATAAGGAATTAAAGAATTTTGTTCCCTGCCTTCCCCACTAGACAGCAGACAGAGCATACCTACAACTTTGTATACATGTATGAACTGAAAATGGTGTGAAGAGGTTCTAGACTGAAAACATAACCTGGTATTTCCTCCATATCTCAAGCTAATTTTAAAGTGGAAGCAAATCACCTTCCTAAAGCCATGGTTTTCTCATTCTTGACCAGAAAAACACCTCAAAATTCTGAATTATTTGCCCACTTCAGAGTTAAAACAGGAAAATTAACTTGGAAACATTTCTTCCTATATTCTAGGATGATAATAAGAAACCAGTTTATGGTAAACCCAGAACAAATCTAAAAGTCCTCACACAAAACATGAATTATACTCATGTATACTCATACAAAACATGAAGACATTACAAAAGAGAAAATTATATACCAATATCCCTCAATACTTAACAAAATGCTAGCAAATCATATCTACCAATATATTAAAAGCCTAATACATCACTACAAAGTTGGGTTTCATTCAGGATGATAAGCGATTATGTAATCTACCATATTAAAAAGATAAAGGAGATTTTATACTATATATATGTATATATATGTATTATATATATATATATGTATTATATATATATATGTATAAAGTATTTGACAAAATTCAACACCATTCAATGATAAAAATAATTTTTAAATTAGGAAGAATTTGATAATAGGCATCTACTTCCAGAAGCCAATTCCAGCATGTCATAATTATAAGTGTTTCATTGAAAGGTTGATGGAACTTGGGGACTCAACAAGGGCTGAGTCACATATGTTATTGCTTTCTGGGAATGGCTAAAGGCATTTCCCCAAACCTGAAAAGGGTGATTGCTTGCTGCCAGACAGCTCAGGACATCTTAATCTACATGTTATTGCCTCCTACTAGCCAAGCATCTGAACGGCCTTAGGCAATTCCCTATTCTGACAATGGATTCTGTACCTAACCCTACCCTTAGATGTGTATATTTCCACCTTGCCTTAGGTCAAATTGTGTTAATAAAAAGCAAGGGGTTCTGAGACAAGGAGAACTTGGTTTCTTTAGCCAGGCTCCTCAAATGCTTTTCAAAATTATGTTTTGTCTCTGGACTCTTATTTAATTTACACACAGCCCCTTCTTGAGGTTTCCTGAACCCTTCTAGATGCTGGATCAACACTACTGGTGTTAATTTACAAATGGTCTAATCTAATATCCAACTTAAAGGTGACATATTGAATGCTTTATATCTAAAATCAGCCATAAGCCAAGGATAACCACTCGCTGCACCACTTGTATTCAACATTTTACTGGTGATTGAAGCACGTACAATAAGGCAAGAAAAGAAGGCATTAATATAAAAAGAAGAGAGGTGAAACTGTTTGTAGATGACATGATTTCTTACATAGAAAAACCTAAGGAATTCACAAAACAACTAGAAGAATAATCAAATTTAGCAAGCTACAGAATAAAAGCTCAATATAGAAAAATCAATTGCATTTTAATAGCAGTAGCAAACAGTTAGGAAATGAAGTCAAAATTCCATTTATAATAGCATCAAAACATAAAATATTTATGTTTAAAAAATATGTGCAAGACTTGTGTATTTAGAAAAACTACTGCTGAGAGAAGACCTAAAATAATGGATAGAACATGCTCATGAAGGAAGACTCATGATCACTAAGATATCAGTTCACTCCAAATTACTCTACATGTTAAATGTTATTGTAATCACAAGTCCCACCTCTTTTTTTACATAGAAAGTGACAAGCTAATTCTAATATTTATATGGATATACAAAGAAACTAAAATATGTAAAGTAAACTTGAAAAAGAAGAATCAAGTTGGGAGGATTTATAATACCTTCTACTGCTTTAAGACTTTCTATAAGGCTACAGTAATCAAGACAGTGAGCCTGGGCATAAAGAAAGACATATAGATAAGTAGAGAGCTCTGAAATAAATTTATAGTTAAAAGGTCATTTGATTTTTGATAAAGGTGTCAAAACAAACAGATGGAGGGCCTTTTTGACAAATGGTGCTGGTACAGTTGGATATCTATGTAAAAAAAAAAAAAGATCTTGACTCCTACTTCACACAGTATATAGAAATTAGAGATGGATCATATATAAACTATAATAATTAAAAGCACTAATGCTTCTAGGAGAAAAATTTAGGAGAATCTTCATAGTTTGGTGATAAAGGGTTGTTAGGACCAGAAAATAATAAAAAAATTAAACTGGGTGAATTACACTTTATCAAAATAAAAAAATAAAAAACTTCTGTTATTCAAAATACACCATTCAAAAAGTGAATAGGCAAGCCACAGACTAGAAAAATATTCACAAAATATATATCTAATCTAGGATTTGCATCTAAAATATATTAAGATCTTCCAAGATTCAATAATAAGACAAGTAACCCACTAAAAATGGGCAAGAGATTTTAACAGACACTTCACAAAAAAAGATATATGAATACTAACACAAAAAGTTGCTTAACAGTAGAAGTCATCAGGGAAATACAAATTAAAAATACGAGACACCTTTATATAAACTCGAAAATCACTTAAATTAGAAAAGACTGTTGTTAACCAATTATTAAGAATGTGGAACAATGAAAGCCGAAACCAGTTTGGCTCAGTGGTAGAGCGTCGGTCTGCGGACTGAAAGGTCCCAGGTTCGATCCCAGTCAGGGGCATGTACCTTGGCTGCGAGCACATCCCCGGTAGGAAGTGTGCAAGAGGTCAATGTTTCTCTCTCATCGACGTTTCTAGCTCTCTACCTCTCTCCCTTCCTCTCTGTAAAAAAAATCAATAAAATATATTAAATAAAAAAAATGAACGTGGAACAAGTTGAATTGCTGCACACTGCTGGCGAGACTGTAAACAGATACACTGTGAAAAAAAGTCTGATAGTTTTTTAATAAAGAAATATTCACTTCCCTTGGATCCAACAATTCTCTCCTTAGGTATTTACCCAAGCGAAATGAAAATACATATGCTCATAAAAACCAACAGAAGACTGTTTATAGCAGCTTTATTCAAGATAGCCAATAACTGGAAACAGCCAATGTGTCCAACAAAAGGTAAATTGTGGAGTATTCATAAAATGGATGACTAATTATAAAAAAGGAACAAACTATTGTTTATGCAACAATATAAATGAATCTCAAAAAATAGGCTAAGAAAAACTTTAAAGAGAGTACACTATAATTCCATTTTTATGAGGTTCTAGAACAAACAAAATTAAACTATGGTGGGGAAATGCACAGAATTAAGGTTGCTTCTAGGCGAGTGGAGGCAGAATTGACACTGAAGGAGCACAAGGGAACTTTAAACAAATACCGAACTTCAGTTAGTATTTATGAAGTATTCAGGAAAGAATGTGCTTAAGTGTGTAACTTACTTTGAATGCACCAAAATAAATAAATTAATTAATTTAAAGATTGATAGAGGACTATCAGGGAAATACAGAAAAATGTTAATTGAATCATATATATGGATGTTCTTTGGTTAATTATTTCAAATTTTCTAAATGTCTGAAAATTTTCATAATAAAATATTGGAGGAAAATTGTGTTTTCAATTCCCCTCTTTCTCACTGCCAGTACAAACTGGAACTGAATTTGTATAAAGCCCATAGGGGGTGCTATTTTCAGAGTAATAATTTTACCTTAATAAAAAAACAAAACAAAACAAAACAAAAAAACATCCAACAAACTTCAATGCAAGACATAAACCAAGCCATTCCTTCTCACCAGAGAATGAATTAAAAAGAGGAATGATTTTAGCTTCACCTTAATATGTAATCTCTGCTCTGATGGAGAAGTTCAGAAGCTTCATGCACTGTATGTACCTCAGCTTAGATGACTATTTCCAAGGCTAATCATTTAAAGATGGGTACCTGTTTTGACTATGATTTTTTAAAAAATGTAACTCACCCCACCCTATTTTTACTGAATCTTTTGGGGTGACACTGGCTTACAAAATTGTACAGGTTTCAGGTGCACAATTCCACAACACATCATCTGTACTCTGTATTGTGTGTTCACCACCTCAAGTCAGGTCTCCTTCCATCACCATTTATCTCTCTATACTGCCCTGACTTTAGTCTTTAGCACAAGAAAATGTATTTTCTGAGCTTGGCCTCTCAAGGTGAAACTAAGGGATACGATGTCAACAAAACAGAAAGAAAAACTTTTGGGCTTCATTACCTTTATCAAGAGATGCCCCAGCCATGTGGTAAAAGCTCAACGCAGTGTCCACATCATTAATATTCTTTAGGAAAGTAAAGAAGTTCTCCACTTCCTGAAATGTCAGGCCCTGAAAGAGAGAGAGAGCAGAGTAAGGCAGAAACTTCCAACAAAAAGCTGCATAAAAAGCTGCATAAAATTCATGTCTATCAACCAGAAATTTATACTATGTCTAGAAGGGAGACTGAATAAATTAGTCAAGGAATGTCAAATTCGTACACAACCGGGGAACAGAATTCTAGAATTTTACTCTGAGAAAGGAAAGCTGGCTAATTGCTTTCCTCTCACATGTAAAATATGACATGATTGCTTTCACTGTTAAAGTGGAGGCTGGATATCTTTAACGAAAATATTTCAAACTGTGCCTTGCAATTAGTCACAATTACCTATTTTGATATTCCTAAATGAGCTGTAGCCACTTGACCTGTCATACAGCTTAACAAGTAAGACCAGAGTCAGGATTTCAATTTAAATAATCTACTTACAGGCTAACTAAGCTCTTTTAAAAATTTATCTTTTATTGATTTTTTACAGAGAGGAAGGGAAAGGGATAGAGAGTTAGAAACATTGGTGAGAGAGAAACATCGATTAGCTGCCTCCTGCACACCCCCTACTGGGGATGTGCCTGCAACCAAGGTACATGCTATTGACCAGAATTGAACCTGGAACCTTTCAGTCCACAGGCTGACACTCTATCCACAGAGCCAAACCAGTTAGGGCTAATGAAGCTCTTTGAAGTTTAAGCTAATTAAAGAATCATCCAAAATCAGCGATTTACATTGGAACGGTTTCAGAATGTAGAACCCAAGGACTTGGGAAGCTGTTCAATATCTCAATTTAAAAGCTACGGATAAAGCAATTTGCCATTTAATTTTAATCTGACGAAATCCTGTGAATGAAGAAATTCTTTTTAAAAGCTAGTCAAAGGTTTGCTGATCTCAAATTCTATTTTCTATGAAAGCTCAAGAGAGAGTAGTTACATAAATAGGAGCTACAAGGAATTCCCTCCCAGGGAGGAAGATTTGTCCTATTAGCCATTTCCCACTTCTCACACATCATGCTGTGATGGAATGAATACAATTTCTAAGAAGTAAATAACACTGAAGAGACACTGAGATCAACGCCTTTTAATGAAAAATCAGTTCCTTAATGGATTGCAAATGTTAGTACTGCTGCTCTTCCAATTTCCATTTCTCCAAACCACCGAGCCCAGGAGTCCACAGTGTTATCTCAGTAATAAGGAAACCTTAAGACAGACAATCTATAGTACTTCCCTGGTATTTTCCAAACTGGGTCAATGTTATCTTTCTTATTTTATCAACCAAAATAAGAACTAAATTACTGAATTTATAATTATATCATATTATCTTTTATAGTTTACTAAAGGCCTGATGCATGAAAAAAGAAAAAAGGCCCAGAAAAAAATGTACAACTTTACAACGATGTAAAATGCACATCCATAAAACCTCCATTCAGGTCAAGAAACAGACTCCTATCGGCATCCCAGAAGGAGCCTCCCTCTGTCTCACCATCATGGCCCTTCCTAACCATAAGCCTCTTCTCTTCTCAGCGGTAATCACTTTTCTGGTTTTCAGTGGCTACATTTCATTGTCTTAAAAAAAAAAAAATTGCACTATATATTATCCACAATGCACCTTAACAGAAATAAGAGTTTAGTTTTGTTTGCTTTTGAACTTTATAAATGAATCATGAAGTACGTATTCTATAGTCATGGACCGCATAATGACGTTTCAGTCAACAATGACTGCATATGTGACAATGGTCCCATAACATTACAATGGAGCTGAAAAATTCCTATCCCATGTAGCCTTGGTAACATCATAGTGCTATGCATTACATGTTTGTGGTGATGCTGGTGTAAACAAACCTACTGGGCTGCCAGCTGCCAGCTGTATGAAAGCATAGCATAGCACATACTGTGTGTTTCTGTGATCAGATATATTTTGACACACAAATACATTGTATGATAGTATAATACAATTGCCTATAGTATTCAGTACATAACAGTTTAGGCTAGGAGCAACAGACTATGTACCATATCGCCTAGCTGTGTAATAGGCTATAAGTCTGTGTAAGTACGCTCTATAATGTTCGCATATGATGAATCGTCTAACTACTCATTTCTCAGAACATATCCCTGTTGTTTAGCGGCACGTGACTATAGTACATATGGTTTTTCTCTTTAAGATTTGTCCATATTTTTGTGTACATATGTAGTTCATTGATTTTTATTGCTATAACCATTCCATTGTGTAAATATACCACAATTTATTTATCCATTCTATTTGGGCTGTTTCTAGTTTTGGGCAATTATGAAGAATAATGCCTCTGTATTTAAGCATTAATTCAAACATGTATGGACTACCTACTATGTACCAAGCTCTGTAATACTTGGCAGTGAAAAGAAAGGCCTACACTAACTAATTTTTCCATAACTTGAGGACATTTTCTTGGCCCTGATTTAGAGCAGCAGTCGCCAACCAGTTTGTGTAAGGGGCTCGGTCCTCTCAGCCACAGGTTTTGTCTGGAAGGAAGGTCGTCTGGAAGGTCGTTCGGTTGTCCGGTCTAATTAGCATATTACACTTTTATTATTATAGATGAGTGCAGAGTTTCAGTCTGAGAAGATAAGAGTTCTGGAGATGGATGGTGGTGATGGCTATACAACAGTGTGTATGTACTTAATGCCACCAAATTTACACTTAATGGTAAATTTTGCTATGTATATTTAAAAAAAGACTTGCTAAAGCTTTTTTTACTTTTCTTATTATGTTGTGGATTTCTATGGCAGGGGGACAATAGAGACCTGAGTTATTGAAAGGGTTTTATAAGGCCAATAGGTTAACATAAAATTCTAAGAACAGAAAAGGCATGGCAGTGAAAATGCTCCCTACTCTGACAACCTTTAATGTTTGTTAATTTACTTATCATGAAAAAATACAGCTCAAGGCCAGAATGCTTATGCTGAGGATCATTTGAGGACAGACAGCTAGAACAATGTGAATTGAGTGACTATTCATTTGATAATTTAGAAAATAACTTGGTTATCAGCCAAGTTACTTATAGAACAAATGTCTGACACCCCTTTAAGCTAATACCTCAGTATGACAAAAAGCATCTCTCATGCAATAAAGGACAGATGCTTTTGTTGCTGGCAAATCAACCATTAGCACAGTTTTAAAACAAGAGTGCTAAGGTTGCTAAGGGTGTGAAAGAAACAATGATTACAGACAATTAAAGAGATAGAAAATTGTTGATTTGGATAAATGGAAAGCAGTCAGCCAGTGACAGTCATTTGGGAGGCAGCGACATGTGAACAAGCAAAGATACTGCATGCTGGCCTGAAAGACACCCCTGGACTGAATGCTGAAAGTGATTCGCCTGCCTGGCTGGTGTTGCTCAGTGGTTGAGTATCGACCCATAACCAGGAGGGCATGGTTTGACTCACAGTCAGGGCATAAGCCTGGGTTTTGGGCTCAATCCCCAGTAGGGGACATTATTATTGATGTTTCTCTCTCTCTCTCCCTCTCCCTTCCTCTCTGTGAAATCAATAAAAACATATTAAAACAACAATCACAACAACAACAACAACCAAAAAACATTGTGATTTAAAATACTGAGAAAAGAGACAAATCATAGAGTAGGAGAAAATATTTCAAAATCATATATCTGATAAAGGACGTTTATCCAGAATTATGTAAAGAACTGTTACAACCCAATGAGATGGTAATAATAACCCAATTAAAAAAAAGATTTGAATATAGACTTCTAAAAAGATATATGAATGTCTAATAAGCACATGAAATGATGTTCAGAATCATCAGTCATTAGGGAAATGCAAATTAAAACACAATGAGACACCACCACACATCCATTAAAAAGACAGTAATGGCCCTGGCAAGGTGGCTCAGTTGATCAGAGCATCACCCTGATATGCCAAAGTTTCAGGTTTGATCCAGGGTCAGGGCACATACAAGAATCAATCAATGAATGCATCCATGAGTGGAACAACAAATTGATGTTTCTTTTTTTCTCTCTCTAAAAATCAATTAATAAAAAATCTTAATAAAAATCTTAAAAAAAAGACAGTAACAACTTTTTGTGAGGATGTGGAAAAACTGGAACTCTCACACATTGCTGTAAAATGTAACATGGTACAACTACTTTTAATAGTTTGACAATTTCTTAAAAAAAAAAAGTTAAACATAATTTTACCATACAACCCACCATTCCACTCCTAGGAATCTCAAGAGAAATAAAAACACAGGTTTACATAAAGACTTGTAGGCAAACGTTCATAGAGGTATTACTTATAATAGCCCCAAACCAGAAACAATTAAAATGTTCATAAACTGGTGAATGAATAAACAAAGTGCAGTATACTAGTATACATACAATAGAATGTTATTTACTATTCAGCAATAAAAAAAGCAACCAACTATTAATATAAGCAACAACATGAATAAACCTAAAAAATGTAAGTGAAAGAAGCCAGACACAAAAGACTACATTATTATATGAAAACATTTATATGAAATGTCCAGAAAAGTCAAACCTATAGAGATAAAAAAAAGAATTTATGGTTATCAGTGGCTAGAGTACAAATAGGGATTGACTGTAAACTGGCATGAGAGATATTTTTGGAGCGATGGGAATGTTCTAAAACTTTTCAGTGATGATTGCATATATCTGTAAGTTTACTACAAATCATTGAACCATACTTAAAACGGGTTAAATTTTTTGGTGTATAAATTGTACATCAATAAAGCTTTTAAAGAAATAAAATGTAGTTGTAATAGATGAGAAGCTGGGTAAGGAAAATTTGACTTCATCTGGAGTCACTATAAAGGCACATATTTAGTGCTCATCGGCCACGGATGAGTATGAACACACTGTAACGGATGGATTCCTTTGCCTTGTCTTTTAACTGGTCATGGCAACTTCATCTGCCAGGAATTAATTAATCTATCACCTGAGGTGTTTCTTGAAGGGCTTTGCAAGCAACGTTTCTAGAATTTGATAACCACATGTGGCTCAACCTTCAAACACCTT